CACACACACACACACACACACACACACACACACACACACACAGAGCCAATTAATACAACTGCAAAGAATTATCTTTTGTGAATGAAATTGTGAAGTGGCTTAAAAGGTCCATTATTTAGATTTAGGGATGGCAGAATTTAGGGATGACAGAACAAACTCAAGGCCACAAGTAGTCTGGCCGTAGGCAAGCAGTCTGTTGTTTTTAACATCCTTGTCTGAGGTATCTGCAGGAAGATAAGCACTATCTTTGGCCAGTTTAGATTTTATCTTATATCTTGAAGTTTCTGGCTCTGCGTCAGATTCCAGAATGAGAAGTTACTCCTATTTTTCACAAACACTTGTATGCTAAATAAACGAATGTGAAAGTAACAAAATGCACAAACTGTGGCATTAAATATATCTTCAAAGGACACTTGCCCACGGTGTGAGACAGGAGTCCAAGTCCCTCTTGCTCGACCTTAGCTTGGAACATGTGCAATGACTGGTCAAATTTTTGTCACTCTGTCCCCATGTACAAATGACCTAAAAAATGCTGCATTGATCTCAGGGTTACAACACACTTTAGAGAGTTAGGTCAACCTGAAAACACGGAATGCTCAAGTAATGAGAAGTTACTGTACTTGGTTCCAGGGCTTGACAAAACTCAGAAGGAACCTAGCTAAAAACAGACCTTCAGCCTCCATGTGCATTCATTCAGCACCAGGGTGCCCAGCCTGGGGTGAAGGGGCCCCGATCAGGATTTCAAGGGGTAGCTGTGGGGAGCTAAATGATCTCTAAAACTATATGCAAATTTTGGACATAATTTTATGGCTGTCACAGCTTTCAACAGAATTTCAAAGAGGTTAGTGACCTCGAGAAGGTTAAGAACCAATTCAAAGAATTAGTTTTCCCTAAAACTTGACTGGACATTTACTTTTAGGGAGAGAACGAAAGGTGATTTCGGAAATTATGGGCCTCTCTAGCGCAGATGGCTCTGGACCCCATGGTTAAGCAGAATCTACTGGTATTTGGGAGACTGCTTGCAGCAAATAAAGTACTTAAGAAATTAGAATCTCAGAATCCCTTAGAAGGGGACCAGAAAGCCACAGTATGATTTCTTTTCCCCACAACCTGTCTCAGAACCCTAAGGGAGCTAGAAGTGATGTCATAACTGTCCCGGTAAGAGCAAAGGTATTCTAAACAGAAACCCCACAGACTAGCTATCAGACTGTTGAAATGACTGTCCTCAAGGAACTGGAATTTCCCTAGGAATCTCACATTGGGGGGAGGGGGTAATTAAGCCTGTTGTCAGCCAGAGGAGGAAGCCTAAGAGATTTCACACAGTTCTGACAACTGGCAGGACAGACCAGGAAACTACAATGAGTCAGTGATGGGCAGGGCAACACTTTGACCAAGACTGCTTAGTTATGCACACCTCTTGGCCTCTATTTACCACTAAGCCTCAAGGACTTGGGGAGGGGCGATGGACCTCTTTGTTCCTCAGTTGTGTTCTCTTTGAGTGTCCTAGTTTGTTTCTCCATTGCTGTGACAGCACTCTGACCACTACCAACTTGGGGAGGAAAGGGTTTATTCAGCTTACATCTCCCAGGTCGCAGTTCATCAGGGAGCCCAAGGTAGGACCTCAGGGCAGGAACCTGGAGGCAGGAGCTGGAGCACAGGCCATGGAGGAACGCTGCTTACTGCTTGCTCCTCTGGCCCCTGCTCAGCCTGCTTTCTTATGCAAGACAGGCCCACCCGCCCCGGGGGGGCACCACCC